GATGAATGAATGCATCAAGTAAACGAACGAACAGCTCATCTTATCAATAGAGTTTAACTGAAATATGATCTCTTCTTCTCTATCTCACAAACATATCATTGTAGATACGATGTCTATTTAGATGTGCAACTACTAAACCTGCTACATCTTTTCTTTTTTTTTTATGAGATAAAGATGCACAAATATATACATGCACAGTACGAGTTCTTCCTTCTTTTCTTTACTCCCCTAATGAGACATTTACTGGGGTGATTACTCGACTCAATTATGGTCTTTCAAGGTTACAAATGGATTGACCCATTAATAACATAGAAAACAAGAATTCAAGAGACTTATAAATGAATCGAATACAGATGAGTATCAATATAAGAATAAAATAGGAATTGTGACGAGGCTATCAACGGAATAATGACAGAGGCGCCTTTTCTAATCATCTTCTAATCGAACAATAACATTCCGAGATCGGCGACACCCGAACAAAAGATAAAATAACCGAAAATAGACATAAAAAAGCAGATAAACGGTCCGATATAAATAACCAGAACGACTATGCTCGTTCGTTCAACTAGACTACGCTTTGAGACAAGATATTTTATTTGTTAAATATAAAAATAAATTCTATGAATACTTACAACATAACCACCATAAGCTTTTGCTGAATGAATATTAAAATTAGGTGCAATTTGTCTGGAATTTTCCATTGAATGTGCTGCTAATCGTAAATAGGCTTCACGTTCAGCTGTTAATGACATATTTGTTGTTTTTGTTGAATGTTGTTGTTGCACGTGATCACTTGAATGGGGATCAATGGGTAAATGGTGTGAAGGAGGCGTTTGTGATGGCTAAAAGAAAAAAAGATAACAATGTAATCACTTCTGATCATAAAAGAAAAAAAAAAAAACTCTCTCTATAATGAACACAATTAGTAATGTATATTCATACCGATTCTTCACGTTTAACCATGTCTGTTGTAACAAGTATTTCTAGTAAGAAATATCTATATGCACGATACGATCAAATAAAAGCTTTTTTGAGTATAAAGTTGGAAGACTTTATCGTTCTTTTTCTCTTTTTTTTTATGTCGCAATAATGCGTCATTATTTCTCTCTCTCTTATATATATTTTTTTTTCTTTTTTTCTGTCATACATACACCCAAAAGGTCACATATGGTAAAAAAACATCTTATGAAGTATCAATGATTCATTATTTAATCAATGATAGCCATCTTTTCCAACCCTTTCTCTATTCGAAATCTATCAAATAAAACAATATTTTTTTCTTTCATCTATAACAGTTGGGGAAAAAAAAAGAGATAATCAACACCATACAGATGGATAAAACAACTCGCTTATCTATTATTTGATTAATGACCTATCCGTTCAACTCATAAGCAACTGGCAGTATATATATATATATCTACAAACATATTTTGTCCATCATCAAATTGCTTCGTTTAGTTTCATGTAAAAAAAAATAGAAATCATTTGGTGGTAATATTTATTCATTGAAAATATCTTTTTTTCATTAAATACTTATCCACAGGGTGTTTTATTTCTAATAGTCCAACTGTGAAGTAAAGATATCAAAATGAAACATATTCGATAGTATTTAATTATCTTTTCGTTCATGTTCTAACGGACAGTAGGCGGAGTTATAAATATCATTGAGTTTCGATAAATAATGTGTACTCAATCATATCAACAGTTTAGAGAAAAGTTTTTTTTTTTTGTCGATTACATCAACAACATTATATTGATTGAATTGAAAATAAGAACTAAGTAAACAAATGATTGTTCTTTTCTTTTTCTTTTATATATATATATATATACATGTGAATTAAAATTATTTTAAATCAAAAGAAAACAATTTACCTGGTGAGCAACGATAGTTGACATTTCTTTTCAAATTGATTAAAAATATTTCTTGTACACTACTATGTATATTTATATATATGTGTGTGTCTATGAACGTGCGGAGGTCGTTGTAAGTTTCTCTCCTTTTTAATCTATAATAGACAAAGGCACATCTCTCTCTCTCTCTCTTCTTGTTCTCAAGCTAAATCAAGCGCATATATAACGTGAATAGACCGATAAAAAGAAGATGCAGAAGAAGGAGAGAAGAAATAAACCGACCGAAAGAGAAGAGAAGAGAGAGAAAGAAAGATGGCGGTCTGTTCGTCGTCACACGATACATACTCATCCCCATCAGCCTAACCAGTCAGTGACGACCATCAACAATGTCGGCGCTATTGCACGCAAGATTAGCAATATACAAGAAAACGAGAATAGTGAATTTGACGAAGAGAGAATGAAAGAAGAAAGATGAACATATATAGACCGGTCGACACAATGAACGAACAGTCGTTGACTTCCGTTCGTACAATGTGCTTAAGCAAAAGGAAATGGACTGTGTAGCATGCAATTATATAAAAAGTCTTTTATAATAGCTAAAAGTGCAATAGATTCTATTCACATTAACATTTGCTATTATAAACTGACAGGTTATTCCGCACTCAATCCATTTTCTTTAAATGACAATGTGTTGACAATAAAAACTCCTTGGCATACGAACGAACAATCTCTTGTTCATAAAAAACAATTGTAACGTTGCTGGATAAAATGAAGAAAAATAAAAGAACATTGAAATATGGTGGGATTTTTGTTGGCAACATATGTGTTTTTTTTTTGCTGTTTCTTAACATCAATTAATTCGATTAGAGAATAAAAAAAAAATTATTATTGTGTGTATTCAAACTTATATATATTCATGTATTTGATTAATAAGAAATATTCTTAGTTTTACTTACACTGTAAAAATGAAAGCGCTTGAAAAAAAATCGGAAATAGATCACAAGAACATTTCCAAAGAGGTTAGGAATTGGGTCTTGTTATTGTTATTGTCGTCGATCGCACTACACGCCGCCACTAACATCAACGCTTTAGTAAGAAGAGAGAGAGTAACAAAAAAAAAAAAATCTAAGAAGAAACGAGCAAAATAGAGAATGAAAAGAAAGCGCAGTACAGAAAAAAAGAGAGAATAAGAACAAAGAGTATCTTCTTCCTTCCTTATACGTATGCATATGTCGACAATCTAGACGCGAATACACTGCATTTTATTATATGTAATAGCAAACATTTTTCGACAGACTAAAAAACAGCCATTGTGTCTTTCCATGTGAAACTATGCTGTCTCATCTGGCATGTTTCATTTTTGATAATATTTATAATTCATTCATATCAAAAGCTAATAACGATCAATCATATATCAAGGTTAATATAGTAAAACTGAAAGAAGTAAAAGAAAAAAAAACATAGTACAAGTAACGAGCGTCACTCGATACAACTAATAGACCAAAGTTATTTCTTTTTTTTTTTTCTTTTTTTCCCCCTCACAGCTGTTGCCATCAACACTCGCATTGCGTTGTTAAACTATATAGATAAAATGTATGTGTATGCGGATGCTTGTGCGCTTGCATACAAGAGAATGTTATTAGTTTTTGTTAGGCATGTTGCTGTTAAAAGCGGGAAGGTGTACTCAGAATAGTAACATGCAATAAGTGAAAATTTGCATTGCTTCTCGTTTTTTTTTTATACTGAGTTCGTTTTGTAAGAATGAAAACAGAAAAAAAAACGAGTGAAAGGGACATCGTCAACAACTGAGTTTATTGAGTAGGTGTGCATATTGATGAGAAAGTAGAATACAATCAAACAGAAAGAAAAAAAAAGAAAAATAAAAAATGATGTTTTTTTTCGTTTGGTAAATTGCGAATACGAGCGTGAACATGATTAATTGGTAGGTATTTTTCTTTTCCTTCATTACACTCCTATTACTTAATCATTGTCAATAACTAAAATTTTTAAACGACTAAGGTCAAATCTCACGCTACAAACATCGATAACTATTTCTATGTTACTCAATTTGTTGCGTCTTTTTCCTTATTCTGATTGCTAAATTTTTGGTGTTTTTTTGAACTCTACAAGGAAAATATCTTTTCATTTTTAGACTTATGAGAAGCTTTGACAATGGTATTTCTGTTTTTCGTATGACCCGACCCGAGTGCAACTCAAATAGTTTTTTGATGATCTGGTCTCATCGGACTTACGACAGTCTCTAGTGAAAAATGAGAGAAACATGCAATGATAATTGAAAATACATGATAAACAATGACGGTAAAATATATATGGTAATAAATCAGATTTTAATAAAAATCCAACCTATGCGAAGCACGTAAACAAGTTACACGTTTATTTTTGTCACATACAGCTGGGTAGACTGAAAGATCAATGCTGTCGATTAGACAGTATTATCATTGATTGACGATAAACAGATAGTGAAAGAAACTTGCACGCTAGTAAAATTTTTTTTTCCCCTATCAAATTAAAGAAAATAATAATAATAATAATAATAAATCTTAAATATTGTAATATGAGATTTTATTTCGAATATTAAATAATTGAGATTTAAGATATATTTCGATTTTTTATATGAAACATTGATACTTTAAAAAACTAATACGTCAACTGTGAAAAAAACAATTTTTTTTTTTTCTTCTATAAAGTCAAATATTTAATTTATAACATACCTTAGTAGCGATATTAATATGAGTTTGATTTCGACCAATAATAATTACAGCCAAAATTCAATAATCTATGGACAAATTTTTAAAAATGAAATAATATTTACGTTAATACTTATAATTTTATTTTATTTTGTATTAAAGTTAATATTCACACACATGTTTTTATTTACATACTGAAAAAGAGAAAGAAAAAAGAAAAAGATAAGATAGTCAACATATTTTGGTATAGACACAAAAAGACGAACAAATGACAAAATTTTAGTATTACACATAGATTTAAAGACTAGTTAATATATATTTATATGAGAAATTTTCAGAAATAAATTTAAGGCAAAAAAAAAAATTAATACTTTAATTTATTTTCTTATATCACATACAATCGGCAAACCGGATGGAAATATGGCAAGAAAAATAAATTTATCAACCAGTTTTAATATTATTTAATTTTCCATCATATGCTGGTTGAAGTTTGAGAAAGAGATGACGTCTTGATAAAGTAACTCTTGGTGTACCACCGGTTGCACCTATTGTTGTTAATGTTTGTAATGGATCATTATTGCCTGATAATTCTTGTACTGATTTTGCTTGTTTTAAATTTGATTGAATAGAATTTGACTTCGGTATTAATGAAAATTGTTGTTGTTGCTGTTGTTTTTGAGCTAACAAAGCAGCAATAGATGATGCAGATGATGATGATGAAAGATTATAAGTTGATGGTGAACGTGATGATGAATGATGTGAACGATTAAACGATGATGATTTTGATGGAACTATTGGTCGATTAACATGACGTTGTCGTGCTTTTTTTCTTATTTGTTGTAAAAGAAAAAAGCAGTCTGTGCATATATCAATTGGTTTTGTACGCCAATTATTTAAATCAGAAATATTGCGAACATTAGCTGGAGTTGAGCTACGACGAGACTCAGATTCATCATGTATTGTATCATTGAATACATCATTCATTACTGGTGTAAGAGGAGATCTAAATGATTTATTTATTTTATAATAGAATTTTTAACGACGTTGTTTGAAGGTTTGAACTAATGATTCATATATCGTGGTAATAATCTTAAAAGGATCTTTCTCTTTGCCAACCGAAAATTTTTAGATTTTTCATTTTTGTTTTTTTTCTGCGCTATATCTACTTCAAAGTATCTTCTATCAATTAGGTTTAGTTTAAGAATTCATATTTTTAAATATAAAATTCGAAGTTTTTGCTCCTTTTTTTTTGACAAAAAAGATTGAGAATTGCTTCTTTGTCAACTACACTACAATCGATTTAGTTGAAACATTCTTCTACTTATATTAGAAAGTATTCATGATGCTTGATCTTTTTTCTTTCAAAATGTTATATAGCATTAGTTTTTGCCAGAATTTACAATAAAAACTTCATTTAAAAAAAAACATGAACTTTTAGGGATACGTCCGATATTTTAATCTTTTTATACAAACGCAACGGTATAAAAAAGAAACCAAAAAAAAACATGTAAGCATCCCAAAAAGTGTCAAATATTCTTTAAAAACATTCAATTCTCTCAGACATGTTGAAGCTGAGAAAATGAAATGATTAGTGAGTAACCATTAGCCTTTACAATCACGATATCTTGTAGAAAGAAGCATTCAAAAATATAGAATCTATGAAAAATTCAATTCTACTCATCGAGATTTATCTACTTTAAAAATTTTCTAATAATTCATTCTCCGAATGCGCTGGAGTGTTGTGGGGGCGTCCCCTTAAGTATTTATTTGTAAAGCTTGTATGAAGTCCAAAGTTCACAAAATTAATCTTCATAATATCTTATTAAACTGTGACAATATTTACTGATATAATCAGCATCTCAAGAAAACCTCAATTATTTAGTAAAGAGAAAAAAAGAATAACAAGAATGAGTCATCCTTTGAAATGTTAGTTTATATTGAAAGTAAACATCATGATGATGATGATGACTCAGTCCTGTAGAAAAAAAACAAACAAATAATAATAAAAGTTTCTTACTGATTATCGAGTGAATAAGATCTATCTGAATTGAAGAGAGATTGTGGAAATGCTACTGGAGTGAATGTATGTATTGGTACAGTATTTAATTTTTCTTGTGGTAAAGCAATCTAGAAATGATCAATATTAATTATAAAATAACGTTTTTTTTTTTTTTTTTTTGTAAATAATAAATCTACTTGTGTAACGCAATTTCGACAAACTTTTTGTTTGCAAACATTACACTGAATACCAAATGTGAATGTCAATAAATTAAAATGTATTTTTCGACAGTTAAAGCATAACTAAAAAGAAAATTTTTTTATATTCAAAAAGAAAAACATGTAGTTTTTTTTTGCTTTTTTCATATACCTTCCCCTGAGCTACTTCAGCATATAATTTTTCATCGAATAATAATGTTTCTAATTCAGCTCGTGTAATTACATTTCGAATGTGACAAAATTCATCAAACGTTAATGATAATGTATTTGAATTATCTTTCATTAACTAAAATAAAAAGAAATATAAATTAAAAAAGAAAAAAAAACTATTGCATTCATTCAAGCAAATGATTACAAATATATGTTACAAGTAGATATTAAATAATTTTTAAAATACCTGAAAAATGCGTTCTTGTAACTGCATTAGTAAGTATGATAGTAAATCAATTTATTTTTAATGTTTTTTGTTAAGTAGGGTAACAAATCAACTAAAAAAGGAAAATGTCTCGCTTGTTCTTCGTCTTTGACGACGAATGATCTGCTACAGCAACATCTTTTCTATTCCTTATGTCAGTTCTTTCTTTTTCCCTTTTTTTTTTTCTTGCGTGTTAGATCACCATTACGCGTAGGCAACATCATTTTTTTTCCTTTTCTTGTCGGTAAAAAATTCTATAAGAAAAGTCTTAGACACATTCATTAACAATTTTTCTTTCTTTCTTTCTTTCACTTCTATTTACTAGTGCATACATGTCTAAACGCCTATATAGAGTTATATATATATGAATGAGCACAGCAATCAACAAGCTATAATGTGGTATCAATGTAACATACCCAACGAACACAGATACAACGATGAAAGCTAAAATAAAAGAAAAAAACCAACCCGAATTATGTCTTCCATAGATATATATGCTAATTCAAAAGGTTCTATTTGTGTATAATTTATTTTAGTTGATGATGATTTAGTATTCTTATTATTATTCATTAAATTTAAAGCATCCATAGTTAAATCCACATAATCATCGCCATTTTCACTTACACGTTTATTTTTGATTGTTGATTCAGCTTTAATGAAAAAAGAAACAATAGAATAATAATAATAATAATAACTAAAAATAAAATTTTACTATCAGTTATATCTTCAGGTGAAGATGAAGATGATGATTCAAGAAGACAGTCAATTACTGCTACACGTTTTCGACCATATTCATCTCGTTGTTCATCATCGTCATCAGAACTTATGTCACTTTCCGTTAAATCCTAAACAAAATAAGAAGGATAAGTTAAATTTTAATTTAATAGCGACGGACTTTAACAGGACGTATTCGTTTTCGAGATGATCCTAAACTTCTTGTTAAATTCAATGATTGATTTGCTAAAACAAATTTAAAATTAAAAAAAAAAACAAAAGAGTTTTCAATTGTTTTTTTACCAATTGGTTTTAAAATACGTTTTTGTTTTATTTCAGACATTAATTTATCATGTAAACAAAGATTATCTGATTCTTCTTTCCGATTTAATTGAATTGTTTTTCTTAAGTTTTGTTGTCGTTTAGCTATTTCATCAAGGACACGATCATTTTCTCTCGTTGACCATCGACGATTTTCATTCATTGAATTATTTAAATTACCATAATTATCTAATGAAACTTTTCTTAATTGATTTTGATCATTAAATTGTAAATATTCAATGGTTACATCACGCCATAATTGTGCCTAAGAAAAGAATAAATTAAAAAACCAAAAAAAAAAATTTTATTTTTGAACATACCCAAACTGAATAAAATGTATTATCATGTGGAAGAGCTTGTGTTGTTAATGTTGACGATAATTCAAATGATGATTGTCGCTAAAAATAGATATTTTCTTTAATGCATGATATTAAAAGATTAAACAATAAAATAAACTTACAAGATCGCGTGCTAATTCAATCTCTAATTCTAACGTATCACTGCAAAGAATTTGAATAATTTCTTGATTATAAAGTGCAATAGAATTGCTTTCAAAATCTTGCATTTCACTTGTATTTGTTTTAATTTCATCATTATTTGAAGAATTAGTCATTGAAAATGATGTTACATAATCGATACATTTCTAAATAAATTGATTGAATTATAAATCTTAGGAAAAAAAAGAAAGAAATTGACATTTATTCGGATTATAGTACAGGCATGCCACATTAAATTGCTTCGGCAAACGTTGACACTTAGAAAAAATTTTGTTTTTCTCACAAATTTGAGAACTATTTATTGTACAAGTTGTTCCAAGAGTTCATAAAAAGAAATAATTTTATCTAACAAAAACGGTATGGTATTGATTTTGTTTTTTCAACAAAAATACATGCTATAAAAAAAAAGTAACGGCTAATTGTTGAATCAAATAAGCGCATGCCTTCTAAGCTTAGATCCTTTTGAGTGATTCTAAGAAAATATATTATTCTGTTGCAGCTAATAAGAAAAACTTTTCTCCAGCTCATATATCATAAGTTTTGTACTTGATGAACTCAAATATTCATTCAAGTCTAACAAAGGTCAAACTGAATTGATTTTTTCAAACAGAGTTATAAAAAAACACTCAGAAAGAAATATCTTAGATGTTTTAAATTGAAAGAATCTAAGTTTTAGATCGACAGACATTATTTCATGACTGTAATATGAGTTAGTCTAAGGATGATAAACTATTAATATTTGAGAAATTAATATATAATCATAGAAGAAATAATTTTTATACCATTAAAGCTCGATGAATAGCTTTTCGACTAATATCTTCATCATCAAGGTCATCACTACTAATGCCTTCATCATCATCAGATAATGTTGATCGATCATCAGTTGAAACAGCTAAATAAAAAAACAAAACAATCATAAAATTCAAGAAAACTTATGCAATAATAACTAACTATGAAATTGTTTAAGAAAATCATTAAATGATTCAAATTCTATTGAACGATCTGATTTTGATGATATTGAACAATCACTTGCTAATCGCAATACAATACGACTAATCCATTTTAAAATCTAAAGATAAAATTTTGTCATAAAAAAGAACATTTCATTTTTCAATTTCTTACCGATGTTGTATCTGTTTGTTGTTCGACATCACCTAAAATTAATATTAATAGAAAGTAAAATGCTTCAAAGAAACCAAAAAAAAGTATGTATCATACGTTTTGCATTGGAAAATTGTTTATAAAGTAATTCATCATCAACAGTAACATTTCCGTTGAGATCAATCATAAGTAATTGTAATCCAGTTGGAATATCAACATTTGAACTAATCCATCTAATAAGTGCTAAATTTTTTAATGAAAATATTAATGATTGATAGAAAAGTGCTATGGCTTGACTTGGCTGTAAAACATGATTAAATAAAGAAACTGTTTTACAAAAACATACACGTTGCATCTGAAAAACAACCAAAAAAGATGTATCTAGATATTATGACACGCTTAATTAATGAAAGAGCTTCGTAGAAGAAATAGTTTTATTTGGCATAATAATGTCTTTAAAAGAAAGAACAAGGAAAAATAATTTAACCAACCAAACAATTTTATTGTCGATGATTCATTCGATATTATTAATGGATGAAAGAGAACAAATGGAATAAGTATATTTTAGGGTTTATCGATGACAACGGAACGAATTATGAATCTATTCAATTGAAAATTTCTTTGGTGATTATTTTGCTACGATTAAATAATATATAGTACAATATCAATGGGATTAAAAGATGTTTTTATCTTACAATATTTCGGAGATTGAGTTCCGATTAGTGACATCTCTTGGCCATGAGAAGGTCCAAAAATATTTTTACACGATATAGTCAAGAATTGAAAAAGAAACATAATTTTCATATACTCATTGTGAACAGTAACATATTATCTTTTTCATTCTGAAAAGAACTACATTGATGAAAATTATAGAGAGCAGCACAAGTGAAACATTTTCAATATGAAAGTAGTGGCGTAACCAGGCGAATGCTTCTCATAAAGCTATGACTTCTGCCCATCAAGCCCCGAGATTGGGTCACTTTTCCGTGGTCGAGCCCGGTTGAAAAATTGCTCATGCCCACCCGATCCGATCTGACTTAGAACGGCACTATTATAATTATATTTCTTTTACAAAAATAAGATTTTTACATGATGAAACTCAACAATCACTGGAATAATTTATCAAATCATTGTAAAATACTTATTAACTATCATGGTTATCACGACTTGAATAAGATGAGATAGGTTTAAAGTTCGAAGAAAAACTCGGGAGATAAATCGAATTAATTTTGAACCGAAAGAGTAAGATGCATTCGTTAGTACTTCAACTTCTGGAATACTATCAGTTATTAGCAAGAATCTTGCACAAGTAAAATGTCTACCGATCAATTTCAAAGAACCAGATTGATTACTATTTCTTGCTACACTGTTGATTTTAGTATAGAATTAACACTTTTCCACCTCAGTAATGTTCATGTCGCTTAATGCAGGTGATAGTTCACTTGCCTTTGTGTGTGGATGAGAAGTGTCATCCAACCGAATAAATGCTTTGTTTTCAGTTATTGCCTAAATGAAATTTCCAACCCTTTCGCATAATAAATCTTTCTGGTTGTTAACAGTTATAAGATGTACAACCTATGTAGAAATTTTTGACAAAAAATCATAATTAAATCAATGATGTTTTTATTAAAAATTGATTAAAACGGTGCAATTTAATTTTCACTGAAATTCGATTTTTTAACTTTAAAAATAGATTTCAATTGATTTTAGTCTTTTTAATCAATCAATAAAGAGTCTTATCTGTGCTGATAACAAGATCACGACCTATGTGTATCTTCTATTAGTTCATTGATGAAAGAACATTCAGTTACTTTGTGTTTAGACGTTCAAGCCTCGTGACCAAAAGTAGCTGTCTACTCACTCTATCCTCTGTTTATCCTTTCCTTTCTTCTCATTTCTCTCTTGTACATAAGCTCGTGTTCTGTATGAAATGAACAAAACTGGAGTGATGAAGTAGTGTTGAAAACATCGTACACCGATAATAGCGAAAATGCTACTTTTCCAGTTTCTCAAGGTTGATCAACAATAAAATAGATACTGCAGTAGCAACGAAACAGTCGATCCATCATTTTCGTTACATTATCAATTAAAATTGGGTTTTAGAAACTGATTAAGAAAGATTAAAATCAAAAGAAACCTATCTTTAAACCTGACAAATCAGGTTGTAATCGGATTCAATTAGTATCATTTTAATTGGCAGTTGTTCATAAAATAATCGAGTCTAATCTAATTTATCGAATTTTCTTCTTACATGAATCAGCATTAATTGATATTCTATCTCAACATCTGGTATGTGCATCAAAGTCTCACCTAGTGTGATACTTACGATTTGCTGAGCTGACGAGTCCGAAAAATGACCTGAAGTTTGATTTTCTAACCTAAAACTCGTTTTACAACCATCGTCATGTAAATCGATTAAAAGTCAAATAATCTTATTTTGATCAAATAATAATAATAGTCCTGTTTTAATCATTTTTCAAAAATAAGTAAACAATATACATCTCTCTTTGCTTGAGGATCATGTGAGCGCACCAACAGTAGTGTATACTGTACGAAATGACTTGGTCATTTTCTCATATTCTTTTTCAAAAAATAATTGCGACCAGCTTAATTGAAGTTCTTCTAAGTACTCGAAATTGTAAGTAAACTGGCTTTCGCATCATTTAACATTCTAAAAAAAAGCAGAGTTTATGAAACATCTTTGAATAAAAGTTCAAAGTTTAAAATCACGTTCTCCATATGCAAATGCAGACCGATATAAGTGTGAGTGGTCAGTATGTGGATGCATTAAGAGAAGATTCACACATACAGCATCCTACTGATGCTTTGTCATGATTTTTCCTGACCACGATGCGAGAAACAGATGACGAGGTAATGTAATTCATTGATCTCGTCATTTGTATTTATTTTCTGTCAAAGGTGTTAGAATATTCTTTGATGCATGCTTATTCACAAAAAAAAGTAATGAAATATTAGCTTATATGTGTCCATCTTCTATTTCACACGGTCTAATATAATTGAAAATAGGCCTTGGTTTTATAAGTTTTATGATTGCTCATACATTTCATGAACTGGTAACAAACTTTCTGTAGATGCTGGCAACGAAGCTTGAAAGATCGATCTTCGTTAGAATCTCACTATCATCGCTGACTTTTACCATTTAACCAAGTATAATTCTGTTCGAGCTATAATGACTGCACGATCTAACAAAACTGTCACTTGATCTTAGAAGCTTTTCTTCGATGTTGGCAATATGTGAATTGAGATTAGACATCGGATACGAATCGGTTCAACCATACAACTGTTTGTATATAGCCGTTAAAGTGATTTCGTTGAGGCAAATATTTGAACATGAAACTTGCCAAGCACGCATATTTTACTTGAATTAGGAAGAACGCGAAGGAATAATATTTGAATGAGTGAGCATCTTTGTTGTGAATAATATTAATCAATTACATCTGATATTCATTTCTTTCTCCTTGTCTACTAAAAAATGAAAAACTCATATTGCGCTGACGCAATTTTAAACGTCGACTCTGATTGGCTGTTTATGGCAATAATTGAGAAACTCATGAATGTCATGTTTTACATGTTAACCGTGTTCTATTCGCTAAAGGGTATTCATATGTGGAGTGTTGATGTGTAAAGAGGAACTACTCACAAAACCATCTAAATCACTATCCAAAACAACACGCCTACTCCAACCAACACCCGATATTTTTCCACTCGAATAATAGTAACATTAGAAAAAATTGTGAAAAAGAACTTAGCAATCATCAACAAAATAGAAATACACGGATGCTCTTGTGAATCATATAGTTTCAACTGATGCGTTCATTTTCGTAGTTAGGAACTGTCAATGAGTTCCATTGCGCTGATATTGTCCCACCATGACAGCGCACCACGAGAACAGCATAACGGAATATTGCAGCACAGTTTGGGGGTCAGTGTGAAGTTTTAACTTCAGATACATGCACATTCAATAGCGTGGTAATTAATGATGAGAACTTCGAAAACATTGGATATTAGTATATGAGATTTCTAACACTTTTGTGTCTGTTCTTTTATCTCTATGACTAAAGATAAAAATGTCAGCTGCTAAAAAAATTTATGTATCATATATATTAAATACATTTTATATTAAATCACAATCGAAAATTGATCATAGGTGCTTCTATCGTGTTCAAGCAAATACTCATAGTACAAGCGTCGCTGTACTTTATCAGTAGTGACGGTCACACGCCCATATCCGTATCCGAGCATGCGTGATTTGCTCCACCAAGGCTGCGGTTCCAACCATTTGTCGTTGTCCAGCGCTCCACCCGTTCCTTGTACAACGATTACGGGCGACTGGACGTTAGCATATGTATTGTTGATGACTGTTGTCGTATTGTCGTAGAATACTCGCTCGTAGGCGTGCATGTGGCCCGTAATGACCAATTGAACTTGATATTTGACGAAGAGAGGATAGACCGTTTCAAACAGAGTCGAGTTGGGCAAATGTTGGCTAGAATGTAGGGATTCATTTGAAAGAACATCTGTAGAAAAAAAAGCATTATACGTACTCCAGCTCGTTTTCAACTGAACACAATAAAGGTCGATGTGTCACAACAATAATAAACGGTTGTTTTATCCGATTCTGATCAGCTTCAGCTAGATCGTTCACCAGCCATGCATATTGAGGACTGTCTTTGGCATAGTCATGCTGGAAAATAGAAAAGAGAAATAGAATACTAGCGTACTCTCATAAAATTCACTCAGTCTTTGGATTGTAAGAATTATCAGATGGCCATACAATAGATTTTACATAGAAAAAGGAAATGTCAACTAATTTCGTAAGAACAAGTTATTTAACATAGCTATGAGTTTAAACTGTTAGCAAATATGTGTATTGGCATACCATTCATCTGACGAGTAGAACTAAAATGTTCTTGTTGCAAGATCGAGTATCCTCAAATTTTCAAAGAGATTTCTGTTGTCTGGAAAAAGCTTTTTCATGAGTTTTGTTTTTTGGCGATATTTTCCACACAAGAACAAAATAGATGGAATACGACGTTATAAACTGTCTATTGATAACATAAAGATCGAAATCTTTTTGCATAAACGAGGCATCTCAAAGAGAAAAATATATCGCGATTCAAAAAATAGGAATATAGTCATTCAAACATCTGCCGCAATGATTCATAGACCATTTCATTTTTGTGTCAGTCTAGGAAAAAGCACATCAATCAACTAAAGATATCCGACCTGTGAGCTCATCGACACCCAATGAATGGGTCCAATATTGAAGCTAAACCAGAAGTTGTTGAGGCCGCCACTTTCAGGACCTGGCATGCGGAATCGATTACGATAGAC